CATTATTAAGCCCTGTATTAACTTTTTTATCAGCTGATGATGAACTCAACATTGTTACATTGTTTTTCAGTTCCATCGTTACCCAACCAGTATCTCTTCATTGAGTTTCAGTAATGATGGCAGCCTGCTGGCCATAGCTGCGTCATACATGTATGAGGAAGATGAAAAAGAGTAAGTTTATTATGTCCTCTAAATGTGTTTTGAAGCCCTTGAAGCCCTTTTCCAGTCAAACACAACTGACATATTGATCTTCTCTTTCTTTAGACACCCAGCAGATGCAATTTATATTCGGCGGGTTTCAGATGCAGAAACCAAACCCAAATGAATGTTGATTGTGATCAAGGAGTAAGGAGGGAAATCCGGGTGAACATAAACCAACAAACAGCTCTCTACCATTGTCGAACAAGATATTTTTAGACATCTTTTATTCTTGTGGTACACTTGCATTGGTTGAGATCTATTTTTATACACGTATACAAAGTTTGATGTGAAAAACGTTTGACCTCTTCTCATATGACTGACAGGAGCTTTTTTGTAGCTTATCACTTTCTCAGCGAGGACATTGACAAGGCATTTCATGCTTCCTCATTAGTGAGCAGTGTTATTATTTCTTTGTTGATTAGCCTTATAAATAATATGTCAATTTTTTTCACTAGTTGGACAGTTATAGGCAATATTGTACAAATTGTTGTTGTTAGTGTACCATCTATAGTGAGTTAGTGACAGTTACCATTTCGCCCTGCATCAGCTAACTAATGATTCTGATTGTGAAAGTAACAAGCAAGTTATTAAGACAAAGTCCAATGGGAAATTGAGGAATTTCAGTTTTTACTCAACAAAAGGACCTTTTACCAGAATAACTGTGCTCGACTATAACTGTTGAAGAATGTAGTGACTAAGCATACAACAAAAAGCAGATTTTGCTAGGAAAATGATAGAGTATCATAAAAAAAAAAGTTAGATAATATGGAAAAACTGGTAAGTAATCCAGATGCATACACAGGTTCTAGTTACATCCTCTGTACATGCATTATGCAGTTCAAGAAAATATCCATACCCCTTCCTCATGGAAGGGACTTTTTCTAAGACCACCCCACCCCTCTCGAAATTTCAGTTAAGCTTCATACATGTCTAAATCTTTTGGTCTGATAGACCCCCACCCCACCCCCATGAACTTCCAATCCCTCCTGTGAGGGGAGTATGGAAATTTTCTTGAACTGCACATTGCGAGTCTATGTTTGAGTGAATAAATTAACATCACTATGGATTAGCTGGTTCATAGACCTGCAGTGCATTCTAAAGATAGTGAACTACATAGCTTTCTCCACACATTGCTGGCCTATGATGCTTGCCAGTTATATTGCATTCTGGACTACCCCCAATCCGATGAGTACCAAGGAGATCAGTGAATGACCTGTACACCTTCTCCACTGTCAGGACTTGGATCAATATGACAGATCTTATTCAGATGAGCCCTTGCTTGACCAGATAAGACTACTCAGGGAGACTACTCACAGTCCTTGTTAACTCATAGAGTGAGTCTCAAACACAAATTTGTTGAGCAGAAAAATACTTGTTTGATCTTTGTCTTGTCTTCATAAGATAATGAAGCTTCTTTCACTCGAAGAGTAACTAGTTAAGGCTAATTTGACAAAACAATGACAAAATATTGTCAACAAGATGGGTGCTAGCAAATTGTCAGCACTATGATGATAACATTGGATAGCCAACTCTCTTGAGCCCAAGAGGGAATTTCTGCTTTCTCTTCAACTGCTATAAAGTGGTGTCTACTTCCAACAGACACATCTGGACTAGCACAAGAAGTGGGCTAGCCTACATTTGCTCTGGCTGGCTGTCTCCAAGGTGTTGCATTTTCATAGTGGCCCTTCATAGCCAAGCAAAGCCAATCATCAGAATTTGATCTTGGCTACTCACTGTTTTGAGAAATGGTAGCTAGTTACTGTCATCTTGTAGGTTCTTGTACAGGAAATGGGTCACTGTGTGGGGAAAGTTTTTCCAAGATGCGGCTAGCAATTGCTTTGTAAGCAGAAGTCTGTTTAATTCAAATAAGATGAAATGAATTATCAATAGTCTGCATATAAGGTTTGCTTTATTAAATTATGTCAATAGAAAGCCTCAGGTCCATTGTTGTATTAATTCGTCTGCAGCTTTGTGCTCCCTGTGTTGATATTGCTGGGGGTTTTCGGGGAGGGGTTAGGAAGGGGCTTTAAGATGTCATTACAGTATTCAGGAGTAGCTTGTTTAATCGATGTTTGAATTAAATTTACAACCTGTCTTCAGGTGTATAGGTGAATGACCTGCTTGTGTAGAAATTCACGAAGTAGCATGGCAAAGATTCCTCAGAGCAAACTTGAACAACTATTTTGGGGGGAAGAAGTACAGGATTGTATGTCAAGAAATCAAAATTGCAATTCTGGTAGAATCATCAAGTATCAAATTATATTACATACCACTTTATACACTTGGTGAAAACTTATAAAGAGAATTGAAACTTTGAAGTCAGGAATTTTTTTGATCGTTTTCTTGAGTTACTAAAATTACCTGAGGACTGTCTGGTTGAGAAACTACAATGGGTTTTCCAGAATCTGATGTTTCTCTTATGTTGATATGGAGGGGAATATCACCTGAGAACAAAGTTATTATAAGTAACAATGACTCCAAGAACATTAAGTTTATATAGAGCTTTCACTGAAATTTTTTCATATGACATCTAACAATGAAACTGTTTCTTGCAAAAGTCTGCAAGGGAGCAACATTGCAAAATCAATGAAGTCAGAAGGCAATGGTGCTCTCTTACATACCAACATTGACCAACGACCGACATTTCAAGTTGAATTTACTACTCTCTTTAGTATGCTGTTTATTGACAAATTAAGAAATGACAGGTTCCAAAGGAAAACACTCAGTTTTGTTTTCTGAGAATTTCAATGAAATGTTTCTCGAGACTGTACCAAGGGAAAAAGTCAGAAAATTATGCTTCTTATGCAAGATCAATATTTTCGTAGTAAAGGAAATATGGTAAAGTTACCATTAATTAGGTAAGGTAAAGTCTGCATACGAGCCAAGAGGCCCATCAGGCCAGCGCTTATCTCCGGTTTCAGTAGCATGAAGTGACTTGGATGGGATGCCAGTCCATCGCATAGTTACTATAACTAACTTTTTTTCAGTCAACCAGTAAGCAAACTCAGGACTGCATCAGCAGAATGTCAGTCCTTGCCCTTGTTTGTACAGACCAACATTTTCTCTGTACAGCCATCACACTTGGTTAATACATCTGTCATGTAACATGCACTATACTGTACCTAAGAGCTCCAAGTCCATTTCCTTGGCAACATCTTTGGCTCCGTCTTGTCCAAATAAGTAGGCCTTGTGCTGACATTGTGGACACACATAGTGGCTCATATTTTGGACTAGTCCAAGAACCTTTAAGTAAGTATATAAAATTGAAAGACAAGTCAGTGCTTCCAAAATTGAAGTTTTGTCTTCTAAACTCATATGAGTGTTTGCAGTAGGTTATCAGTGGTGGATCCAGACCTTGAGCTAAGGGGGGCCGGGGGGAGGGCAGGTTTTTTGCTTGCACTGCTGACTTTTCTTCCTTCTATGATTTTTTCTTTTTTTACCCAGAATAAGGGAGAGGGGCCGGGCGTCTCCCCTAGATCCGCTACTGGTTGTGAAACAAGATAACATGACATTGCTGTCATAGTTTCATTTGTCCTGTTACAAAACGGCAGACTTCCAATCAACAAATGTCAATAGCATGTTATTTTCCGAGTCCCATTTTGCCTCTTAACCCTTCCACAAAATGTCTGACACTCTCCTCTCAATATACAATATTTTGAGTGGCATGAAATAAATTATGTAAAACTGATTTTATTTTTATTGGAAAGATTTTACACCCAACACTCATTTTGAAAAAGAAACAAAAGCAACTTAGAAATTGTTTCACTCTTACCGGAACTTTGACCTTTCTGAACATTTCTGCTCCTCTGCGAGCATCAAGCAATGCAATGTCTTGAGGAGTGGTAACTATCACAGCACCTGTACAATAATCAAAACAGTTAAACCCTTCCATCTCAAGAAAGCCTTAGTCTTATGAGCTTAATAATACACTTGAAAAAATTTCTCAATTCTGATTGGCCAAAAAGGAATGCAGTTGTCATGTAACACCACAACAAATTTGAAACACCAGTGCAAATTACGACAAGGATATCCAAAGTTAATACAAAGAAAATAGAACACTACCGACGGTAATCTGAGGTATTTCGAAGGTGGTTGAAGTTTACCCGAAACCTTCTGAAGATCGCTAAAGGTAAATGGATGTTTTCAAAGAACTTCTAAGGATCACCCAAACCTTTCCAAATACCTCTGATAATCATCCGAACGCTCCTGAAGATTTCTGAAAATTTCTAAAGATTGTCAAAGATCACCCAAAGCTTGTGGGAGACTTTCCAACATTGTTGGTAGTTTTGAAGTATTTGGAATACAAGACACACCGAAGCCTGCCTAAGGAAACAATTTGTAGACAAAGACCTTAAATAGTGTATCATTTTACAAGTAATCACATGATTATTCTTGTACAATTTGGAATAAATAAGCACTTGTAAATTTTTCAGACTACAAATTGCACTCGCCCTATGGGCTCGTACAATTTTGTAAGCCTTTGAATGATCTACTCATGCTTATTTATTCCAAATTGCACTTGAAATCATGGGATTACCTATACTAATATACTTGAATTACCATGCAAAACATAACTTTCTTGATTTGTTCTTAATTTGTACGTTGAATGTTTCTAATCAGTAATCTTGCCAATTTTTTGAAACAAAATTTCAGATGCATTGTAAATGTTTGTGAAAACAAAACAGCACTTGTAAGGTATAGTGTAAAATAGTCTATCCTTATACACAGTATTTTCCTTTGGATCATTCATTCCATTTCATGTTTAAAACTGACCTGAAATGGGTATTGACTGTGAGATTGACAGTTGGGTGTCTCCTGTCCCAGGTGGCATGTCAATCACAAGGATATCAAGCTCACCCCATGCCACTTGCCGTAAGAGCTTTTCAACAGCAGACATGACCTTTAATTTGCAAATTTCAAAAGAAAAATCAATATTTGATTCCATTGATTGAACATCACTGAACAAAGAGATGAATGACTTGTTTTGCCAGGTAACGTCTGCAAATGCAGACAAATTTCAGTCTTGTTTCTCTTTGCATATTTCACAGTCAAGTGGTGAACACAAGTCAGAAAGGTGAACTGTGAGTCTTCAATTCTGCTAAGGCTGAAGACACTGTACAGTTAACACACCATTAATCCTCTCCAAACAATTGGTGCACCTTCCTCCACTAGGAATCCCATGGACATACTGCAATTGGAACATGACAGGAGTCAAGTTGTATACAGTATCATGCCTTCTCTATTCAAATTAGTTGTTTGTGAATGAGGCAAAGATTGTGTAAAGAATGGCATCAGCATATGTGCCTTTGTGGAATTATTTTAAGGAAGCATTCTTACCAGGGAATGCCAAAATTGACCAAAGGCTTCATCTGGTCTTCTGTCAATACCAAAAATAACCATTAACATTTGATATTTATATTATAAACATTATGATATTTGTAGAAAGAAAAACAGGGCATATTAGAGCCCGTAATCGGCTACTATCCTTGTAACCCTGCCACACTTATCTACATCTTTCCCAAATTACTTCCGTGTTCATTTTAGGTAGGGACAAAACTCTGACCGGATCAACTGTGATTGCTGATTTAAATAGGATGACAACCATTCAAGAACAAGCCATAAACAAAAATAGTTACTCATTCATATTTAAATCAGAAATCCAAGTTGAGCCAGTCTGAGTTTTGTACTTCACTCCGTATGTAAGATCTTTCTCTCTAATTTTCATTTTAAGGTCTATTGGTGACATTTGGCAAAATATAAATGTATGAAAATTGAGAAACGGAATATCAATAATCAGCCAGGACACTGTCCCTTTAAACAAAAATGTCTCTTTCCATGTTAAAATTCACAGTCATGTAACCCTTTCTCTGCTGTAAAAACAGATATTCAAATGTGATTTAAACAACATTATTCCTATTTTCATGATTTGAAGTTTCTACTATTCTTAAAACTACAGAGTTGTACATTATAAAACACTAACTGAAGACTGAAGGAAATTTCTTATCTGCAGATTTCCCCTCTGTCCTTCCTTCAACACCACCACCACCACCACCCCCCCACACCCCACACCCCACCCCCACGTAGCCTACCTAGTTGCACCCCTCAACAATGATCAAATTAACTTACGTTTTGTCAGCTCTGGTTGTCCATTAAGATTCATCATCCTTGGTATAGATGGTCCATAAATATCTGCATCAAGAAGTCCAACATGCAGCGACTAAGGACAACACACAATGTGTTTAACAAAACTGTTCCAAATAAAAGAATGTCAATTCTTAATTGGGAGTTAAAGAAACCAGGACGCAATGCCGAGGACAACGTCGATTAAAAAATGATTTTATATTTTAACTATGAATCTTGTGATACTCTAAACTCATTTTCCTTTGTTTCTTAGTGTCAAAACTATCACGAAAGTGACTCTGGGACACAGTGAAACATTTGAAATAAAAAATGAACTGTTGTGTTTCACATTCTCTGGACAATGCAGAATTTAGTCATTTCACATTGTTTTGCAGAGGACGGCAAAGAAAGATACCAAGAATGATAACACACATGCACAGCCATTGTTCTGGTCATTAAACCTTAGTAATGTTGCTGTTGCTGTCATGGTTTTCTTAAACCCCCTAATATCATCTGAAGGAGAACACCCTCTAATAATAATTCTTATTCCCTCTCTCAAAATCTAACTCCTCGCCCCCTCCCCCCAAGGAAAAAAAACATGACTCAGGTAAGAACAAAAAAGAAAGATTAATGAGCAAATTTTCCAAGACAACTGATATCTAAATCTCTGTACCATGGTTCAACAGTACAGTTTAAATTTTAATGCCACTTGATACAAACCTGATTACATGCTTGCATTCCTAAAGCCAAGTTTACTGCAAAAATCAGCAACAAAAACAAATCAGCAAGTGGGAATTCAGTTATTACTGATAACTTCATTTTGAAGTTCTTGAAATCAAAAACTGCAGTGCTAATTCATTCACAATATCAATCAAACAGTGGCTGCTTTCCATTATGCCAAAACCTCTAGAACTTTTGGTTGGAAATCAAATGGAAGAGTTCAGTATGACTGGAAATTTCCAAAAAAAGGACCACCTTTGAAGGAGGTTCACTCAAACTGACCAAACCAATCAATCAAAAATGTGTTTTTCAAACCCATTCATTGCTGTACTTCTCTTCAATAGATTTCCACTTACAAAGAAGATTGAGGAAAGGGCCATTCTTCTCAGTTGGCCTGATTTAATTGGAAATGTGATTCCAGTAAGTGTATTTACAGAACCTAACCTCCACTGAACACTTTAACTCTAACGCTAACTATCCAGGTTATTTAAAAGATATGTCCCCTGTATGGTCTTCATCCTACAATTTGCACGGTAATCATATTCTGACCCTTCGCAACCCAGAAACAACGACTTATGGTCTGCACTCCTTTTCATATGTAGCTAATAAAATATGGAACTCTCTCCCAGACACTTACAAAACATTAAATTTTCTACAATTCAAGCAGGAGATCCTTAAATATAAAGCCTTTCCACAGTAGATCTATAAGTTATATTTCCCTCTGCATGCATAATACTGTATATTGTATATAGTTTATAAATAATAATGAATTGTAATATAGCATGTTCTATTTATTTATTTTATTATTAGTATTATTATTATTATTATTATTATTATTTTCTTTTTTTTGTAACTTATGTTCTCGAAGATATTAGCTCTACAGCTACTCTGTAAATTTCAAGCATAGGGTATATGTATGTAGGTATGTATAGCACTCAAACACTTACAGATTGGACATCTTTCCCTCAAAGCAATCAAGGCTCTATCTGCCATGCATGGTCACACAGGGAAGCAACATTGCAATTTTTGCAAATGTGGGGCTGCCAGTGGAGCAAGTTTGTTTGAAAAGTCTTTATATGCTTTATGTAGCGTAATCAGGAAATTAAATATAAACAATAAAAGATGTACACATCTTAAAAACTGAAGGACAAAATTGCCTTTGGCAATCCCCACTCCTTGGCATAACAGGTCAACAATGAGAGAAATGATCAGATTCTACATTCTCCTTAATCAAATTATATAATGTTTATGAAAATGAGGAAGGAGAATTTTTCTGCTTTCTTTGAAATCTCCTATACCTGAGGTTGTAGACTTGCCAACCCCTCCCTTGCCAGATGCCACCACTATCACATGCTTGACTCCAGCTATTGGCCTCTTTTTTGGGAGGCCACGAGCCATTTGTTGCTTCTGATGTTGTTCTAATGACTTACTCCTGCCTCCAATGCCCTACAAAACAGAAAAGGAGTGGGGGGTCTCCCTATAATGGCCTACACTGGGAGGCTCCACCAGAATGGGGTACCTTTTTCAGGCTTCAGGTATATAAAAAGGTTGGGGTTTCACAAGTTGAGGTATATGAAGGGGGTAGGGAAATTTGTCATTTAGGTATTTATAAGGGCCTTTAATTAAAATATTTAAAACAGATGCACCTTATGGCTGTATCTGGCAATGCCTGATGTTTTATGCTTGATGTTTTCCCCTGATCTTGTTCAAGAACTTCATAATTTCCAAGGGTTTAGAAAAGGGACACAGTAAAATTGAGTAGGTATGTGAAAGGGACCTTTTGTGTCAAAATGGTATACAAAAGGGTAAGGGATTCGACTTCGGGGTTGGGCTTCCTCCTATAAAACTTTGTAGAGTACCCCCTCCCCCCTGGGTTGCTGAACCAGCGAAAGGTAGATGAAAACGGCACTTTTTTGCATCTCCAATATAAATTGTTAGGCCACCATGAGCTCTCACGAGCAGAAACTTAAAAGAAACAAGATTACATGATTAAATGATCAACAGGTTCCCAGTCACATCTTACAAGTTATGACCCATGTCGGTCAGAATCTGTAAGGCTTGGGTGCGCAAGGACCCAATCAAACTAGCCTCATCCAGGCGTTCAATTAGTTGGGGCGCAGTGCGACAAACGACGGGCGAAAAAATAGGGGAGAAGCGCAGACAAAATACCTACCAATGGGTGTTCATGAGTGGAAGCTAGTGTTACTCTCGTGTGAATTGTTGCTCTACGATTGGACACCTTAAGAAAAGAAGACCATACTGACCGCACCAGAAATTTTTGCGCCACGGCCGCCATATTTGTTGTTTCATGGAGAGACTATACCCAGTTTTCGCTCGGAATCAAAGCGAGAAACTTCAACTCTCAAAACAAAACAGACTAGAAATTCGTTTGTTTTTTATTTCATTGTTTCGCAGACTTAACTCTTATTTCCTCTCAATATCTTTTTAGTCCACTTTCTTTCATCCCTTCAAGGTCCTTCACCCTCCAGCTCTCTGCATTGTTCACATCCGGGGATGCCGGATAGGGGGAGGGAGTCGGGGTACAGCTACCCTGGTCCCAGAGGTTTTTCTTGATTTTTCTCCGCATGAAGAGCGAAAAGAAGAAAAATCAAGAAAAACCTCTGGGACCATGTTAGGGTACAGCTGTTTTACAAAAATATCCATGTAACTGATAGTTGAGATCTGCAAAAATTACTGATAGCTGAGAAATGGTCTGAGAACTAGAAATCGATGAAAATTGAACTGATAATCAACAGGAGTCTTGAAAACTCCTGATCATTAGGGGTATCTCCCTACGGGGGTCTACTTTACATACCGAATTCTGAACTCCTGTTGTTATTTCGATATTTCTCTATACATCTGCACTGTCTACATCTATATAAGAAAAGTTGGTTAACATTTTAAGACATCACACCGACTTAAAAATTTTATCGATTTTGTTGTTAGGTTTTCTTTACGGTGAAGATCTATGAAACGGTGCAACGTCACAACGAGTATCTAGAGTGACTGAAGAAAAATTGGACCTCGGAACACAGGCCTCTTTAAGGGCAAAAAATAAAGAACAGTTGAGATAAGTGTTCTTAATAAGCTAATTAGTGGGGTCGAACCCAGTAGTTTCGCGATGTGTGCTATAAACAAATACGTAATGATGTATTCACGGGAAGTTTCTTACATCTGACTTGTACTTTAGTTAATTCACACTCCAGGGTCTGTAAAACCGCATGGATCGGGCTTAAAAATGCCTTAAACAGTACAGACCTTCAAAAGTCTTCTTTGAAGTCGATTATGTAGTGTAACTAATGAGCTGTAGTAAACATTCCTCTGAACTGCATTGCCATAGAAACAAAGTCATTAATGCAATTGCAACTGAGCTTTCCACAATTGAATTAATATCAGGTAATATAGCTTTCTTCGGGCTTTAGAAATGTCGTTTTCTACTTTGGATGAGAATGATAACGATGAACAAGGGATCGATCCTCTTGTTTTGTCGCTCGAAGAATTTTCACGCGCACAGGACGAATTGGCAACAGCGACCGATGTTTTGGGTTCGAACGAGCCCCAGTTAACTGGCTGGATTGTCCATCGCGCTGCTCTAAACGAAAACAAACCGTCGTGTCGACGATCGGCTCCAGCTTTAAAAGACTCAAAAGAAGTAAGATCAAGCACTCCACGAAGGAGTGTTTCTCGTCAATTTGCGAGGAATCGAGGGGACTTGGGTGAATTCAAATACTTCTTACAACCGAGCAGATACATCGAACAGTACAGGAACGAAAAGATTAACCGGCAAGAGGCTGCCTTGAGAGAGCTGGCAAGCAAAAATGACAGACGCAGAGCGTCTGACAGTTACGTAGATTTGGGAAAAAACGGCGATCACACGGAAAATGGAACGTTCAAGAACGTGCCTAGTGTTGTGAGCATGAAAGAAGTACAAACAGCCGAAGACGACAATACGGTTAAGCCACTCGTTGTTTCCTCAAAAGGATTGAGTAGACCGGCTAATTTGCCAATGTCGGGACAATTTCACGGAAGGAAGCTTCAGTGGCGACCGACTGTTGGTAACAGGAAAATAACTAACGCCAAAGTATCCCAGTGGTAAGTCTTTTATTGACATGAAATCGACAACACCGTGTAACTTACAACATCCACACGACTAGAATGTTGACTTTATCTAAACACGCACGTATTCAGTTCAACAGCGGTTACCAACTGCTGTTCAATAAACTCGCATGCTACTGTGTTAAAGAGAGGAGAACTTAATTAGCGAGTTAAGTAATTGGTCATATGTGTGTGTAGCAGCTGATTCGTAAAGTTCCACTTCTCATTAGTGTAATAAATAGTTAATGCTTTCATTATGTTTTGATTGCTTTTAATCGTTGCGAGCCGAAAGAATGTTTGCGTAGAAGGCTAGGTCAATCGTAAAAATGCAGAACATTTGATATAATATGGACATCTGAATAGCCAGACGGTGACATTTTTATAGAGACGTTTTCAAAGCAAAATTTGTCGAGACATGTTTTATTACTAAAGGAGTAAACGGGTTTCGTGTCATTGGGCGGTACGATGGTAGCTGATTGTATCATGTCATGGAACACTAGTTTAATTTAACTTCTTGATTCACAATTTCTGTCACTGTAGTGTGTCACGGTAGCCTGACTGAACAGGCTCCGGCTGCGATTAGCCCCTCACCGGTTAGCCCCCAACCAGAAGTCGATTAGCCCCCATGCAACCAGAAGTCGAAAACACTGTCTATTTCTCGTTCTTTAAGCGTGAATATGGGGGCTAATCGACTTCTGGTTGGGGGCTAACCGGCTAAGGGGCTAATCGACTTGGGGGCTAAACGACCAGTAACTCTAGGGTCTGATCTGAGCGCGGCTGGAACGGCCGAAAAAGCAACTGACTGAGAGTGAAATGGCCGCTTTCTCTTCGTCAGTTTCCTCGACTAGAAGAACCTGTTCACAGGCTATGTCAAGGTCGCGTATGATCAATCGAAAACAAATTAGTAAAACAGACAAGAATTTTCACTTAAAAACCTGAGAATAGTGTTACTGAGAAAGAAGAGGGGAATATAATAAAAAGTAACGAAAGTTAGATTAAATGAGCAGACATGAAAGCTGCGAATGCAAGATAAATTCTAGCTTCTTCTGTAGCTGGTTATAAGAGACATTGACGCATCAGGGAATGTTGATTTTTTTTTTTCAGGAGCCAAGCACACATAGACGTTACTCTTGAGATTACGTCACATGGAAATGGTGACGTCAGTCACTTGGTCCACTCCAGCCAACAGGTCGGTATCTGTTAACATCATCAGCCTCGATCACAGGCTCTCTCTCCTTATTCTCCCTTGTAGTTGTCCTTTCTTTCTCGATGGGAATGAAGCTGAGATATCATCAAGATTACACATGAAACCTTATGTGTACGCCAATTTGAAACTGAACCACAATCGATCAGCCTGGGTCACGGAATCCGGTTCACAGAGTTGGAGTGATCGTGTCCGCTTTAGTTACCTGCCAATACACTTTCCTAGGAAAAAACGAGAAAGGAGAGGAAAGGAGGGCCGAGAACGTGTTTTCATACGTTTACCGATAGCCGAAAAGGGCCTGTTTTAGTTCAAGTATTGGATAGTCAGTTTTGAAGCTACAGTATATCTCACGTCAGTAAAGAAGGGGTAATCGGATGAAGTCTTTCATAACAGACTAAGGATTTAAAAGAAATACCATTGACGAGAAAACCCAAAATAGTCCAGTTGATTGTTATTTTTTCCAAATTAACCTCTTTAGTGTTAGCTTTATCCAATGCTTAGCCGTCGGTCAGGTTGCTTGAGTTCTACTTGTTTTTGTTGCATTTTTTTAATGAAACGAACCTGACTTTGTTTCAGAGCGAAGGTTATACCCCATTTCAGGAGAGACGATCGTCTGCGAACTTAGTTGTCAAGAGAGGAGAATTAGGAGGTGCAGCGACAACTAATCACCGGTCTGACAGCAAAAGCCAGCCTCAAACGATTGGTGTCCAGTGTTCGCCGATTGAAAAGTGCGACGCGTGGGTAAAAAACCGAGACAATGACCTGGGAAATATCTCCGGCAACGGAAAGGAGCAACTTACAGCAAAAGCACGGGGTATTCGTGGATTACACACGGCGTGCGGACATTCTTCTCAGTTATCTTTACGTGGCAGCTCACTGAATTCGCCTCAGAAAGACTCGTGTAGTGCTCGAGCAGCTGAAAGCTCAAAATGTGCGACAGGGATGGACTACTCCAAATATACAGATATGTTTAAAAATGTGCTGGAGTTTTATGGAACAAGACGACTGAGACCGAAATCACATTCGGCGGTCGAGCAACTGTTGTCCATGAAGACATGAATAATATCTGTGTATAGAAAAGGGAAACAGGCCGGGGACACAGCAGAAATCCTCGACCAAAGGCGGCAAGAAGGATGTGGAAGGTACAAAGAGAGAGGGAGTGAGACGGGATTACAGAGGTGGCTGAAACCGGGGGAAATGATAGTTGGAACGTGAAACTTTGTGTTATATTTTGTCTGTACTTTTCGACCCAAATACATAGGAAAAAATATATTTTTTATATCATTTAGAGCCTATAGAAATTATTTGACTTTTAGGAGTCTAGAACAGTGCGTGCAACCAAGCTGGGAACTAGATTCGCGTTTTAATGGCCTGTATATTATAGTTCAAACTAGCCGTCAGCACGTCATGTGACTTCCCGGTTCATTTACATTACAGAAACATATACCTTATGTGAGAGAGGACAATGCAGCTTCTTTTAAAATAATTCAACCAACTGGTCTCGTTTTCTACGAGTAATAATCAACGAGGCACAGGAAAGTTGACTATTCACTTTTAACGTAACCCACCTGTCGACTGTCAGGTAAATGTGCAATCTGATTGGCTAGCTCATGGCGGTCTAAATGTTAAAATCAGCTATATAAAGGTACATATATTCTTGTGGAGATTCACTAACAAAGTAATATAAGAGTTTATTTTTGATGGTTTCGAAAAAAAAGAATTATGAGTTTACACTTTTGATATATTATTGCAATCCATTTATTAGAAAATTTATTTCCTGCGAAGAAACTCGATTATGTGTAATATAAATCTATTTGAGATGTAGTAAAACATGATGGATAAAACTGTTTCTCAACGAAACTGTCTCTCCGTATTTGTTTTTTTTTTTTTTTTCATGAAGTAGTGGTTCTGTCAAATTTCTTTCAAAGAAAGAATGAAGGAGAGTTTCACAAACGGCTCAGTAGACAAGAAACTGAAAAACTTTGCAAATACACTGGGCGAGCCATGATCGGGGACGGGATAGGCACCATCACCAATCGTTGCTAAGGAACGGAGCCCACACTCATTCCTCGAAGGTACTACCCGGCGGGGAAGCAATGAGACCGGACTCGAGAGAAAGCAACGGAAATTTAATCAGAGTCAGTGGAGATACTTTCATAATGGACTAAGCGGAGTCCCCTCCCGATAGGGGTGGGGAAAATGGTCATTTAGCCATTTAATACTGACGCTCTTTCAAAATGTCTCGAACAGACACAGTTAATTAATTCATGTAAGAGTTTTAAGGGGTTACTCAATCCCAGGGTATAAAATGCGCTGCAATGTTTCTACTATAGGAATGCGAACCCTAGAGGTAACACGTCTGGAAGGTATACGAAGTATATGAAGGGGTTACCTTTTGGGTCAAAAATGTTAAGGTGGCCGAACACAGTTTTCAAGTGCCTTTGCCTAGTTCACTATTACTTTTAAACTATTTATCCTTTGGCGCCCGTTTTCTGCAAGAGTCAAGGTTAACCTCAGAAGGGTTTATTCTCGCATTTTGGCTAAGGTGTGTGCTGTTGCCATGGCAACGGGGCTGGTTAAAAACAAGGCTTAAAAAATGGTTTTTGTTTATTTTAAAAAAATCCAGACGTTAGATTTTTTTCATCATTTGCCCACTACGAATTGACTTTAAATCCCTTCTGTCAACACTCTTCTAATAAAATTTTGACATAGACGATTTTCGTAAT